CGCGAATCGGATTCTCTTCTCTTGTGTATGTATATACAAAAACCCTAGTCGTCTGCTCCGTTACTCTCCGTCACTCTCCGTCGTCTTCGTGTCGGAAACCCAGATTTTTTTTTTTCAAACGCCGACGAAACTGATTTAGTGATGGAATCTAATGGATTAGTTTCATCGACGGATAAAATCGGCGGCGTAAGTAACTTGGAGAAGTTTTTGTGCGAGCGATTGGTGGATCAGTCGCAGCCGATCTCGGAGCGATTTAGAGCTCTCTTCTCTCTTCGAAATTTGAAAGGCCCAGGACCTCGCAACGCTCTGATTCTCGGTTTGTTTCCTTTCTTGTTTGAATTGGCAAAAAAAAATTATAACTTTGGGAAGAACATTTGAGATATTAGGATTTTCCCTTTAGTTTTATCGCTTTCACCTATTTGTTGTAGTTATTATTTTTGTAGAATAAATTATAGATTCAAATATTGAAGAATTTCTTAGTTTACATTTGCTTGAATCGAATTTGCAAAAAATTCCTTCTTGTATCCTTATAGTGGCACTTGATGAATATGCTAAATGTGGAAGCTTTGTCTCTTGTTTTTTGTGATTTCTTTAAGTCTTCTGTATAAGACTGAGTTGAATTCTTTGCTGTGTAATTACTATAGCTATTTGCTTGATGTATCTAAATCTACAAGTTTCCGCATTTACCTTCTAGTTAACGACTGGAAACAACTTCTTTAGGCTCTGACTGTGTGCTGATATGGTTTATTACTGCTTGTGTTTGCCGTTAGTTTCGTTATATATTTCGAGCTTTAGTTCATTTGCGTGACCTGTCTCATTACTGATTGTTTCTGGCTTGGTATCTGAAATTTAGACAGTTGATTTTTCCCGTTGGTTGGGTTCTCTATATCTTAAGATGAAGACCATGATAATGTAGTTTTAGTAAGGGGAGGTTTCTATCGATAATCGAAGCTGGCATTAAACTTCCCATCTATCTTTTTTTCCTTTCTCCTGCAGCGTCCAGAGACTCATCTAATTTGTTAGCACATGAAGCTGCATTTGCATTGGGTCAGATGCAAGATGCTGAAGCAATTCCTGCTCTAGAGTCAGTTCTTAATGATATGTCTTTGCATCCAATAGTACGGCATGAGTTGAGTACAGTTGATCCTTTGGAGTTAATCTCTGATATTCTATATTTCCTATGTCTTAGTAAACGATTTTGATCCTTTCATGTCGCTGATGCGCTGTTGCTATAACAGGCAGCAGAAGCTCTCGGGGCCATTGGTTTAGCGGGTAATGCTGATATTTTAAAGAAAAGCCTGATCATGGATCCGGCTCAGGAGGTTCGGGAAACATGTGAATTAGCTCTCAAAAGGATTGAAGAGTTGAGCAATGTTGATGCCGAGAACCAGTCATCCACGACAGAGAAATCGCCTTTCATGTCTGTTGACCCAGCTGCTCCAGCCGCTGCTTTCACTTCTGTCCATAACTTGAGGTTCTTGTACACTTGAGCAACTCAAAAACTTTTAGATGATTTACCATTTTGTAACAGGTTATTGATTAAGATCATCGAACTTCAGGCAAATTCTTCTGGATGAAACAAAAGGCATGTATGAGAGATATGCTGCACTTTTCGCTCTGAGGAATCATGGTGGAGAGGAAGCTGTTTCTGCCATAGTTGATTCTTTGAGTGCTAATAGTGCCCTTCTACGTCACGAGGTACGGCATGGTGGAGAGATTGTGTTTGTTAAGATCTTGTATCTTGAATCTTTGCTTTAAACTGTATATTTAATGCCTTGTAATTGATGCACTTTTTTTTAGGTAGCTTATGTCTTGGGCCAATTGCAAAACAAAGCTGCTTTAGCTACTCTAAGCAAAATACTGAGAGATGTGAACGAGCACCCGATGGTTAGACATGAGGCTGCAGAAGCACTTGGTTCTATTGCAGGTATCTTCCCTAAATGCAATTCATCTTTTGAATTTGACTGTCTTTACTTACTCTTTGCATTGATGGGCTATTTTCAGATGAGCAGAGCATTGCATTGCTACAAGAATTCTCAAGGGACCCTGAGCCAATTGTATCACAAAGCTGTGAAGTTGCATTGAGTATGTTAGAATTTGAAAATTCCGGAAAATCTTTCGAGGTAAATACTTTCATCTCAAACTCTTGCCCTCGTATACATATAGATAAATGCCGTGTGCGAAACTGTATTGACCCATATCGGAACCTTTTTTGCAGTTCTTTTTCACTCAAGACCCGCTTGTCCACTAAGAATGCTCAAGGATCTTAACCATTCTTCTTCAACCATTTATCAACAAAGGAAACACAAACTTTAGCAGAAAGCAGCCATTTGTCTACATAGAGAGAGAAAAACTGATACTTCACATGTCATTATGTACGACTATTATAATTCTCTTCTCTTGGTTGAGTTTAAGGTTAAGATACATTATCTTGATGGGTATGGAAGCTTTTCATTGTTAAAGAAAGGAATGAGAGTATTGCCAGATATTAGTAAAAGAAAGTAGAATATTGTGTAATGTTGTATTGCCCATCATTGATCTGTCTCCTTAGAAGCTGCACGATGATCTTGCATTTGTTAACAATTAAATGCACATTTTTCTTCAAATCAAAGAAATCAATCTCACTTGGGCAACCTCTTCTCTTTGTGTATACAAAAACCCAGATTTTTTTCAAACTAATCTAGTGATGGAATCTAATAGATCAGTTTCATCGACGACTAGAGGCTGTGTCGACGTAAGGTGCTTGGTGAATTCTCTGTGCAAGCGAGTGGTGGATCACTCGTTACTGATCTCGGACCGATTTAGAGGTCTCTCCTCTCTTCGCAAGTTGAAAGGCCCAAAACCTTGCGATGCTTTGATTCTCGGTTTGTTTCTTTTTCTTGTTTGAATTGGGAAAAAATTGTAACTTTAGGAAGAACATTTGAGATATTCATCATGCTAAATGTGGAAACTTTGATTGGAGCTTCTTTATAAGGCTGAATTTGATTGGCTTTGTATTTGCTTCATGTATCCAAAGCTACAAGTTTCTGCATTTCCCTTCTAGTTAACTATTCTAGAAGAAAAGTTTCTATCGATCATCGAAGCTGGCATTAAACTTCCCATCTATCTTTTTTCCCTTTCTCCTGCAGCATCCAGAGACCCATCTAATTTGTTGGCACATGAAGCTGCATATGAATTGGGTCAGATGCAAGATGATGAAGCAATTCCTGCTCTGGAGTCGCTTCTTAATGACATGTCTTTGCATCCAATAGTACGGCATGAGTTGAGTATAGTTGATCCTTGTGTTGGAGTTAATCTCATATAATCCTTATTTACTCTGTATCAGTATACGCTTTTTCTTATCGCTGATGTGCTGTTAATATCACAGGCAGCAGAAGCTCTTGGAGCCATTGGTTTAGCGTGTAACGTTGACATTTTGAAGAAAAGCTTGATCATGGATCCAGCTCAGGAGGTTCGGGAAACGTGTGAATTAGCTCTCAAAAGGATTGAAGAACTTAGCAATGTTGATACCGAGAACCAGTCATCCACAACAGATAAATCGCCTTTCGAGTCTATTGACCCAGCTGCTGCTTTCTCTTCTATCCACCAACTGAGGTTCTTCTACACCTTGACCAACTCGAAAACTTGTAGNTGATTTACCATTTTGTAACAGGTTATTCATTAAGATCATTTAACTACAGGCAAATCCTTCTGGAAGAATCAAAAGGCATGTATGAGAGATATGCTGCACTTTTTGTTCTAAGGAATCATGGTGGAGAGGAAGCTGATTCTGCCATAGTTGATTCTTTGAGTGCTAATAGTGCCCTTCTACGACACGAGGTTTGTCAAGTCTCCTTCATTTGATGAATTTCAGTTTGATGATCATTGTTCTCTAGTGAGAATTTGAATGAGTGTTTTGTTACTTTGAATCTTTACTTTTATTGTTCTCCAACCTTAAACTATATAAGGGCTGCCTTGTAATTGAATGCAATTTTTATTTTTAGGTTGCTTATGTCTTGGGCCAATTGCAAAACAAATCTGCTTTAGCTACTCTAAGCAAAATATTGTGAGATGTGAACGAGCACCCGATGGTTAGACATGAGGCTGCACTTGGTTCTGTTGCAGGTATATTCCCAAAACTGTGATCCATCGCTTGGAACGATCACAATTCTACTGTCTTTACTTACTCTTTTTGCATTGCTTGGCTCTTTTCAGAAGAGGAGAGCATTGCATTGCTACAAGAATTCTCAAGGGACCCTGAGCCAATTGTATCAGAAAGCTGTGAAGTTGCATTGAGTATCTTGGAGTTTGAAATTTCCGTAAAATCATTCGAGGAACATCTTGCCCTCACCATGGACAGTTGAATGCCTCTGGTAACGACCCATATCAAAACCTTTTTGCAATTCTTTGTCACTCAAGACCACCTTGCTCAATAACAATGCTCAAGGATCTTAACCATTCTTCTTCCAACATTTACCAACGAAGGAACACAATGTTTAGCTTCAAGCAAACATTTTCTACAGAGAGAGAAGGAAAAAAAAACTGATACTTGTACCATTTCTATAATTCTCTTCATTGAGTTTAAGGTTTAGATACATTGTCTTGATGAGTATTTTATTTGCACAAGCATATTGATCAATGTTTTTTGTTTTTTGGGTCAAATTGATCAATGTTTGTTTAGCATCTGATCAATGTTTGTTTAGCATCTGATATTGTCTTCATCGACCAAAGTTTTAAATACTAGTTTCTTTTAATTTTCTTCTACTAGGTTCGAAGTTAAACAAGATTATGAATCGGATGTACAAAAGTTCTTCGTTAAAAATAAGGAAAAATAAAGTGTTGTTTAGCAGCATTGGTCAAAGAACGATCTCATTAATTTATTTTTAGGCCACCGCACGATCATTAATTTATTTTAATTAAAGTGTTTTTGTAAAGAGGGCAAATTTTGCTTAGCTTATAAATACGCAATTTAATTAAATATACGTAATTAGTTTGTTTCTATCCAAAATTTACATGGCATTAGCAAATGTCGGTACACCTTTAACCGGCACTTTCCGGTTTACCCGCACCATAAGAACACGACAAACGGCAACATTTTCAATGTCCGGCGTTCGGCGGTAGAAGTCAAGATCAAAACACTAAAATTAATTATAAGCACCAAGGAGATATATTTGGCATAAACCAATAAATTATTACAAAACTAAACATTTAGCTTATTAATCGGCCGTCTACCTTATTAATTAGTTGTTAAGCAGTTTAATGAAAATATGTCGACGTCTAACCAATCAATGAATAGATATAATTAGAAGAAGAAGTTGAACTAAACATAAGAAGATGAACTCATCAATACTTTTGAACTAAATATTGTTGACAATGCAAGGTCATCAATTAATGCTACAAAAATTATTCGAAGAAATACTTTTGCAACTCATCTATGAGAAGAGATATAGTTAGAAGCAGAAGTTGAACAAAAGTTATTGATTTGTCTCCGTAGAACCCTGCACGATGACCTTGCATTGTCAACAATTCACACCCTTTGGTTCACTCAAAAGTTTTTGACATTAAATGCACAATTTTGCATTCGTTCAATGAAGACGAGAATTAGAGAGATAGTATAGATTCAATTTACGTCATAAATAATATTGTACTTATTCGAATTACAATTGTTTCATCATACACTATTTATGGACTAAAAGACAAGATAGGATTCAAGTTCTAGTGATGATACTCATAAGAAATGATAATCTAAAGGAAAAAGGTGACGCAAATGGTAGTCAAACGAAACAAAAACTAGTTGATAATATTATCATGATCTAGTGGAGTGCAATGCTATGC